CACTACTGCTTCCACTGATACTGTTAGAACAACCAATAACAGTAACAGTAATCTCTAATTATCTTGCCCCTATGTAAAATGTTTTTTGTTCTTCTCTTTGTCTAAGTGCAAGTTGAGGTCAGGGTGTGGAGGCAGCGCCACCTGCAGCTCCAGTATGTTTGGCATTCATCTTTCAACAACAGACACCCATATTGCTCTTTGTTATACATGTATCCTAAGGCTTTCAGCCATCAAACACCTCTGACATCGCCAATCAATCAGCCTTGACCTAAGAGCCAATCGTCAGAGAAATATCAATCACATGCAGAAAAATAAGCGGACAGAAACTAAATGAGGTCAACTCTCCACAGACTGTCTGAACTTCCATTTGTATGGACATAAATTATAAGTCGCTCACACAGCCAACGGAAAAATTCATGATTTTCTTTTCCACTGCTGCTTTCTGAGTAACATGAAATAACCTGATCACACAAACATCTGACGAAACAGAGTGAAAGAAGGTGGTTTATTCAAACTTACATCTCCACCACTTCTCTATATTCAAATACCCGACCAAGGTATTAAAAACAGAGAAGAGGCAGGAGAAACTGTGAAAACCTTCACAGGACTACTTAAATGGATCCTGTGGCTGTAACCAAGCTGTTGTGCCTTTGGCTGCTGGGGAAGCAACAACTTTGCACTAATCTGACTTTATTTTCGATATTGATTTGGTTTACCTCAGTGTGCCGGGCTGAACTTAAACCAAACTTTGGAATGGATTTTTGCATCAGAAGTTTCTTCTCAGCTTATCATCATCTCTTCAAAACACATTTGGGTCATTGGTGATTTTGGTGTTATAGCAAAATAATATTTTATTATCACATTTTACAGTGGTTGTACCTGCAGCGTTGTTAAGCTGTTGATTCTATGGTTTTGGGCAAACTTGTCAGATAATATTATTTGCCACTACTTCCAAGTCATAGATGTATCTCTATGTATTGTTAAATATCATGATTGTATCGTCTAATATAAAACCACAACTGATAAAAGATCTTGGGGATAATTTAGAAACAGTGTTACTGCCAAACATTTTCACAAACATACTCAAAAATATACTTTGTTGTGTTAGTGCCATCACACAGGACAATGAAAGAAGACTGCAATCTTTTAAAAAGGTGCAAAGTCTGCAGCAGGAAGTCAGAGGGGCATTAAGCCCATTCTCTCCGGCCTGCTGGAGCGGGGGGGCTAGGAGGAGGAGTTGGCCGTCTGACTGCGGTCTGGAGTGTGGAGCCTTCCTGCTGCTGCGGAGTCGGGGCGGTCTGCCTCCCCCCACCGCAGGGAAAAGGGAAACACCACCTGGGTCTGGGTGCAGT